ACGCTCCTAATCCAAATGTTCGAACTCTCCTGTTAATCTGAACTCTTTTAATATTTAAACATTTAAATCAATGTTTAACACGTCGGCCTCTAAAAGATGAAGATCACTCCTGACCTCGAGTCACGCTCACCGAGTTCATCCGCCCACACGACCGATGCATGACGGTGCTGATGAATCATGTGCAACAATCTGTCCCGGTCACACTCATCACCGGGGTGCTACGTCCCATTTGGGTCCAACTGCTGAACCAGAACCGTCAACAACAACTGTAAACAAGCTGAGGTGACGCCGGGATCCATAAAGACCCTGAAACACCAGAGCGCTCAACCTTCAGAGGGACGCGGCTGCACCCCCAGCAGGTCTCAGGGATAAGGGACACTGTCCTGAGGACACTCATGTCCAACTGTGGAGTGAAGAAGACTGGTGGTGGACAAAGGAGGACAGGGAGACATTTATGTGACATTAAAATATGAAACCATGGACAAGACCTCCTTAATGCAGTTTTAAATCTAACGCCCGGTCAGTTTTAGACTGTCACTGTGCTCAAGACCAAAACCGACCAACAGACACACTAATGACCCTCAGGAGGGAGGGGAGGGAGTGATTTGCATGTGACTTCAACTAATATATATTGAGCAACTAAGCAAAACAAAAAACAACAAAACTGAGCAATTCAAATTAAGTTTGAAATAAGAAAGACCTTGAGTGAGAGGTTATCAAAACTACACAAACAAACAAACAAACAAACAAACAAACTGGAAGCAGCTGGGACAGGTGGAGACGGCAGATGGACGGGAAGAGACGGAGACGAGGACTTACAGGTGTTCTGGAAGGTGTGGACCTGCATGTCGAGCAGAGGGAACGATTGTCTGAAACTGTACGTCACCGAAGTCTTCTTCTTCTGGAAGATCTTCGTCACCTGAGGAGGAGACAGGTGAGACATGCAGGTAAAGAACTGAGGCCCGGAGCCAGAGGAGCTTTTATCAAGGTTCAAGGTTCTTGAGTGGCATTCGCATCACATGTGGTGCATGAGGTGGAACAGAATTGTGTCTTCAAGGTCCCAGTTAGACCCAACAATAGCAGAAGTATGAAAATAAACAGTAAATAAAGATCTAAGATACAAAGTAAACACTAATACATTAATTAACAACAATAGAACCAAAGTATCGTGAGGTTTACAGAGTTTCTGCAGGTCAGAGAGTCACGTGAAGGCTGCTGCTTTATCTCTAACACTGGCCTAGATCCATCCAGCAGCATCAGGACCAAGATTAAAGGTGACCACCTGCAAACGTCAGATCTCCACAACATTCACAAGAAAGCTCTGAAGAAGTTGAACCCCCACAAGACTGGGGACCAGAGTTCTGGAGGCCTGTGGGGAACAACTAGCTGCAGTATACGTTGCCATCTTCAACCTGTCATTATCCCAGGCAACGGTCCCCCGTGTTTTCAAAACCAGCATCATCACACCAGTTCCCAGAAGTCCAGGCACATCCACCTTAATGGCTGCAGACCAGTGGCACCAACATCTGTCACTATGAAGTGTCTAGAAACTGGTTCTTCAGCACATTACATCGTGCACATCCTGTACACATACAGGATTATCACTGGGAAGAAAAAATCACTGAAATGACACTTTGATTGTTGATATGTGCTGCTGATGATCCATGCTGCTGATCTCATGCTGCTGATTATTTCAGGCTGCTGTGTTCATTCGTGCTCATCTACACAAACTCATGTTCGTGCTGCTGTTGTCCAGTGTATTGGTTTTGATTAGTGTTTAGTGTATTCTATCTTAGATCCTTATTTACTGTTTCTTGTACAATTTATATATTTGCTGTTGTTGGATGTAACGGAGACCCCGTGTGCACAATTTTGTTCCACCTCATGTACCACATGTGATACGAATCACACTCAAGAACCTTGAACATCAACCACATGGTCCTGGATACTGTCGACCTCCTCCAGTTTGCCTACCGCCCTGATCGATCAGTGATTGATGCGGTAGCAACAGCCCTACACCACACTCTGGATCCTCTTCCTGGACTACAGTTCGGCTTTCAGGACCATCCGACCGGGCAAACTGATAGAGAAGCTGACGGACCTCGGCGTCTCGACTCCCACCTGTAACTGGATCCTGGACTTCCTGACAGATAGACCACAGGTGGTGAGAATGGGAGGACGGGTGTTTGCTGAACTCACAGTCAGCACAGGAGCCCCGCAGGGCTGTTGTCTCGGCCCTAAACTCTTTACCCTGTACACTTACGACTGTGCCTCCACCCAGCTCAACACCATCATATATGCTGACGACACCACTATAATGGGGCTCATCCAGGAGGGGAACGAGTCAGGCTGCAGGACTCTGGTGGACAACATTATAAGCTATGGAGAGAAGAACGATCTCATCCTGAAAACAGACTAGACTAAAAAAATCATGTTGGACTTCAGGAAGAACCCTCCCCCATTAAAGCCTCTCATCTTTAAAGGGACTGAAGTAGGGAGGGCTGACAGCCTTAGAGTCTTGGGACTGCAGGTGACATCGGACCTGAACTGGTCTCTCAACACCACAGCCACAGTGAAAACATCCCAGCAGGCTTTACTTCCCTAGGCTGCTCAGGAGAGCGGGTCTGAACCAGCGCCCTCTCACCCAGGCCTAGAGGACTGAGAGAGCATCCTAACCGCAGGTATCACGTCTGGTATGGGAACACCACACAAGCAGAAAGGAAGGAACTGCAAAGAGTCATAAAGACTGTGAAGAGGATCACAGGGACAAAACTTTCTTCATGGACTCGTGTGACCAAGAATCATCCATGTCTCACTCCATCCAGCTCACTCTTCTATCAGACACAAAACATGTTCTTACAACCTGAGACACAGGTCATCACCCACAGTACGAGGTTTTTCATAGTCTGCCACGGTCAAAGCAAAACAAACTACTGATCAGGAGCAATAATAACCTACACTCACTTCACTGGTCATGTGACACGAGTTACTTTCTGTCCAGCGTAGATAGAAACAGCTTTGTTCTTATTTTTATAGTATTTAGTGTTTCAGTGTTCTGATTATGACTGACAGCTCCGCACAAGAACTCCAACGTGTCTGAATTGATGCTCTGTGCACAAATGGCAAATAAAATACTTTGTACCTTTGCACTTCAACAGCCGAAGGGAGAAAAGCTGAAGCTAACTAAAGATTTTTTTTGCTCTTTTTCTCTTCCCACATCTTTCCCTGACACCGCGCCGATCCGAGCACTGGTTACCATGAGCAGGTCGTTGAACAGGAAGACTTCTCTCTGATGGACGCCGCTCCTCTGAGCCCTGTTTGGATCTGGAACCTCGAACAGCTGACAGCAGCACACCAGCCTGCGGTGAGGCAGCGACAGCACCTGAAACACAAACAAACTGCCGCTGGGCCACAGAGACGAACAACAGCAGAACTCCCTTTCTCTGTGACAACACAATGTGATGCTGAGAGCTGAACAACTGCTGAAACTGGCTGAACAAGCTGAAACTGAGCTGGTACAGCTAAAAAAAACAAAAAAACAAGTTAAGACGTAAAAGAGCAAAATACTAGCTAAAAGCCAAAAGTAACAAAACATCATCATAGTTAAAACACTATCAAAAGCCAAAAGAAGCAAAGTACTAGCTAAATATAGAAAGCAATAGCTCACAGCTTAAGTAAAGCATTAGCAAAAGCTAAATGTGACAAAACACTAGCTGAAAGCCAAAAGTAGCGAAACTTTGGCTACAAACAAAAACTAGCGTAAGACAAAAAGAGGTCCAGCAGCTGAAGCAGATTTTAACGAGAACATGAATAATTTATTCCAAAGAGTCTTAATGAACATTTAAGGACTTTTCTTACAGCACAAAGATGTTTTGGGTGTTTTTCTACATGAATCCTCCTTTTTTAGCTGTTTGGACGAGGTTTGGTTCTGAATAAAACGTTTGCGCTTTAGAACACACAAACCCTGAGGAAATGTCTACATGAACAAACGTTACTGTTTTTATTGAATAAAGTTTATTTAAAGCTTTGTGTGGGACTCTAGTTCCTGGTTTCTGAGGATCTTACGGGTTTCTTGCCGACCACCATCCTCTCCACAGCCTGGACCTGGGACACGTGGTCGTCGTTGGTCCTCAGCTCCCACTTCTGGATCCGTCCATAAATGGCCACCAGGAGGTCTCTGGGGATGTCCTGCCCGTTGTCAACACCTGGTGCGAACACAAGTGTTTGTGTGAGAGGACGGTACGGTGGCCGACCGGTGAAAACGCACCGCAAACGCATGAACGATGCAAACTCCAAAACAAACAAACAAACAAACAAATCAAGTGCAACAGAAGAAATCATCAACAATCGAATGCAAAGAACAAAATCTACAAATAACAAAAACACCAAAACAACTGCAAGTACGAAACGCTGAAAACTCACTTCACGACATGGAAATGAATCAAAGCATGAGGGGGACTCGACTACCAAGTCCTCTGGGACCAGACCCCCACCAAGTCCTCTGGGACCAGACCCCCACCAAGTCCTCTGGGACCAGACTTCCTGTAAAGACTTTAACGGGAAGCCCAGAAGAAAGCTGGAGGGAAGAAACAAGTTCTTGCAGTTTTTTTAGTGTTCTTAGTATTTGCAGCATTTTTCCACTGCGTTAGTTTTGTTGTGTTTGTGTGTTTTGGAGTTTGTATTGTTCTTATGTTTGGGGCTCATTTAGCTGTTTGCAGCTCATTTAGCTGATAGCGGCTCATTTAGCTGTTTGCGGCTCATTTAGCTGTTTGCAGCTCATTTAGCTGATAGCGGCTCATTTAGCTGATAGCGGCTCATTTAGCTGTTTGCGGCTCATTTAGCTGTTTGCGGCTCATTTAGCTGTTTGCAGCGCATTAGCTGTTTGCGGCTCATTTAGCTGTTTGCGGCTCATTTAGCTGTT